AGCATGTTCCTATAGATTGGCCCTCTCCAGGAGGCCCCGTGAGGGCCCAGGTCACCCAGGGGGTATCGAACATGCTTGTCCCGAGCTGGAACCGCGTGATTTTTATGTGTGCAGGCCACCGAGTGGGGTATCCAACATGATTGTTCCGAACTGGAACCGCGTGTTTTTACGTGTCCAGGCCACCCAGGGGGTATCTAACATGGTTGTCCCGAGCTGGCACCATGGTTTTCACGTGTCCAGGCTACTCAGGGGCTTAGTGGGCCCTGGAAACGATAGGGCCGTTTTTGTTACCGGTTCCGTTTTGCCGTTTTTTTGTTGGTTCCGACGCCGTTTTTTTATCGGTTCCGTCGCCGTTGTTTGACCGGTTCCTGCTCCGGTTCCAATCCTGGAGCCGTTCTTTTGCCGTTTCCGGTCGCCGTTTTTTTGCCGTTTCCATTTTCAAGGGACCTTTTTTTGGAAACGGTGAAAAAACGGTCCTGCCGTTTCCGGGGCCCACAAAGCTCAGGGGTGCATCTAATATGGTTGTCCCGAGCAAGGACAACGTGTTTTAACGTGTCCAGGCCACCCAGGGGGTATCTAACATGGTTGTCCCGAGCTGGCACCATGGTTTTTACGTGTCCAGGCTACTCAGGGGTGCATCTAACATGGTTGTCCCCAGCAAGGACCTAGTGTTTTAACGTGTCCAGGCCACCCAGGGGTGTATCTCACATGGTTGCCCCGAGCTGGCACCAACGTGTCCAGGCCACCCAGGAGGGTGTCTAACATGGTTGTCCCGAGCAAGGACCACGTGTTTTGACGTGTCCAGGCCACCCAGGGGACTATATATGTTGGTTGCACAGAGGTGGATCCGCGTGTTTTTACGTGTCTTGTCCACCCAGTTGGGTATCGAACGTGATCGTCCCGAACTGGAACCACGTGTTTTTACAATTCCACGCCGCCCAGAGGGGTATCTAACATGGCTTCGGGCCAATCGCCGAATTATCAGGAAACGCACGGGGGGGCAAAAAACGTTACCCGAACACATATCCCAAAACTGAAAAGTTTTGTTTTCTTGTTCTGGACAGGGGGTGGCGCTTTGGGGGCCTCTCCAGGGAAGACTTTGCGAGGATTTCTCGAGCGGGGGCGCGAAATCAGCGTATCCAGGCCACGCAGGGGGGTATCTAGCATGATTGTTCCGGGCTGGAACCACGTGTTTTTGTGTGTGTCTGGGCCGCCCAGTGGGAATAGCTAACATGGTTGTCTTGAGCTGGAACCATGTGTTTTTCGTGTCCAGGCCAACCAGCGGGTATCTAACATGGTTGTCCCGAGCTGGAATCACGTATTTTTATGATACCAGAGAAAAACCCCAATCAGAATTTTGGGGGGGATATGGGCCTTTAGGGCTTTAGGGCTATGGGGCTATAGGGCTATAGGGCGATGTGGCCATAGGGATTTAGGGCAAGAAGCCTTTAGGGCTATGGGGCTATAGGGCTACAGGGCTATAGGGCTGTAGGGCTAAGGGCTATAAGACTATTCGGGCTATAGGGCTATCAGGCTACAGGGCTATATACGGCTATAGGGCGTTAGGATCATATTGCTATAGGGCTATGGGGCTATGGGGCTATATGGCTATGGGGCTATAGGGCTATAGGGCTATAGGGCTATGGGGCTATGGGGCTATTGGGCTATTGGGCTATTGGGCTATAGGGCTGTACGGCTATAGGGCTATAAGATTATAGTGCTATGGAGATATAGGGCGATTGGGCTATTGGGCTATAGGGATATAGGGCTATTAGGCTAGGCACCCCCGGGCACTTTTCCCGGGCACCCCTGGGCACCCCTGGGCACCCGGGCACCCGGGCACCCCCGGGCACCCCCGGGCACCCGGGCACCCGGCCCCGGCCACCGAAATCGGCCACACACCTGGGCACCCAGGCACCCCCGGGCACCCCCGGGCACCCGGGCACCCGGCCCCGGCCACCCGGGCAATCGGCGGCACAGACTACCTAACCCTTTAATCCGCTAGGACCCCTATAGAGGCAAGCTCTGATTGGGGAACATGTCCAGGCCGCCCAGGGGGGGTGTCTAACATGTCTGTCTCCAGCCTGCACCACGTGGTTTGGGTGTCCAGGCCACCCAGGGGGGTATCTAACATGATTTTCCAGAGCAAGGACCATGTGTTTAATGTGTCCAGGGCGCTGCTATTGGTGCTTAGCCGGAACGCACTACAGGGCCGCGAAAAATGTGAGGGGTGCGGCGCAATGGGGCGGGGCCGCCAGTGGGACGTTCGGTGGGGCTTCCTATGGGGCCACGAAACGTTGGATTGGGCGCAGGAGTCCCATGCGAGGTCCGCCACTGGGACCTTCGGCGGAGTTCCCTACAGGGCAACGAAACGCTGTTCTGGGCGCATGAGCCGCATGTGAGTTCCGCCACGGGGACCTTCGGTGGAGCTCTTTACAGGGCCACGAAAAGCTGTATTGGGCGCAGGAACAGCATTCGAGTTCTGCCACTGGGACCCTCGGTGGAGCTCCCTATGGGGCCACGAAACACCTCAGTGGGCGCAGAAACCGCGTGCGGGCGGTACCACTGAGACCTTCGGTTAAGCTCCCTAGGTGACCACGAAACTCGATATACTGGGCGCAGGAACTTCATGCGAGTTCCGCCACTGGGACCTTCGGTGGAGCTCCCTGTGAGGCCACGAAGCGTTGTACTGGGCGCAGGAACCGCATGCGACTTCCGCCACTGGGACCTTCGGTGGAGCTCCCTACGAGGTCAAGAAACGCTGTACTGGGCGTAGGAACCGCATGCGAGTTTCGCCACTGGGACTTTCTGTGCAGCTCCCTATGGGGCCACAAAGCGCTGCACTGGGCGCAGGAACCGCGTGCGGGCGGCGCTACTAGGCTACTAGGTCCTTTGGTGGAGCTCCCTATGGGGCCACGGAGCGTTGCACTGGGCGCAGGAACCGCATGCGAGTTCTTCCATTGGGCCATTCGGTGGAGCTCCCTATGAGGCCACGAAGCGTTGTATTGGGCGCAGGAACCGCGTGCGAGTTCCGCCACTGGGACTTTCGGTGGAGCTCCCCATAGACCACGAAACACCATACTGGGTGCAGGAATCGCATGCGAGTTCCGCCACTGGGACCTTCGGTGGACCTCCCTATGGGGCCCCGAAGCGCTGTACTAGGCGCAGGAACCGCATGCGAGTTCCGCCATTGGGACCTTCGGTGGAGCTACCTATGGGGCCACGATGCACCGCACTGGGCGCAGCAACCGCATGCGGGCGGCGCCACTGGGACCTTCGGTTGAGCTCCACATGGGGCCACGAAACACCATACTGGGCGCACGAACCGCATTCGAGTTCCGCCACTGGGACCCTCGGTGGAGCTTCTCCCATGGGGCCCCGAAGCGCTGTACTGGGCGCAGGAACTGCATTCGGGTTCCGCCACTGGGACCCTCGGTGGAGCTCCTCATGGGGCCACTGAGCGCTGCATTGGGCGCAGAAACCGCATGCGAGTTCCGCCACAAGAACCTTCGGCGGAGCCCCCTATGAGGCCACTAAGCGCTGCATTGGGCGCAGGAACCGCGTGCGGGCGGCGCTACTAGGCTACTAGGTCCTTTGGTGGAGCTCCCTATGGGGCCACGGAGCGTTGCACTGGGCGCAGGAACCGCATGCGAGTTCTTCCATTGGGCCATTCGGTGGAGCTCCCTATGAGGCCACGAAGCGTTGTATTGGGCGCAGGAACCGCGTGCGAGTTCCGCCACTGGGACTTTCGGTGGAGCTCCCCATAGACCACGAAACACCATACTGGGTGCAGGAATCGCATGCGAGTTCCGCCACTGGGACCTTCGGTGGACCTCCCTATGGGGCCCCGAAGCGCTGTACTAGGCGCAGGAACCGCATGCGAGTTCCGCCATTGGGACCTTCGGTGGAGCTACCTATGGGGCCACGATGCACCGCACTGGGCGCAGCAACCGCATGCGGGCGGCGCCACTGGGACCTTCGGTTGAGCTCCACATGGGGCCACGAAACACCATACTGGGCGCACGAACCGCATTCGAGTTCCGCCACTGGGACCCTCGGTGGAGCTTCTCCCATGGGGCCCCGAAGCGCTGTACTGGGCGCAGGAACTGCATTCGGGTTCCGCCACTGGGACCCTCGGTGGAGCTCCTCATGGGGCCACTGAGCGCTGCATTGGGCGCAGAAACCGCATGCGAGTTCCGCCACAAGAACCTTCGGCGGAGCCCCCTATGAGGCCACTAAGCGCTGCATTGGGCGCAGAAACCGCATGGGAGTTTCACCACTGGGACCCTCGGTGAAGCTCCCCATGGGGCCACGAAACAGCGCACTTGGTGGAGGAGGACGAGGAAGGAGGGGGAGGAGACGCGGGCACCGTCTCTTCAAAACGAGGATCTCTACACCACAGGATGGTTCGGAAAAAACGCGTCTTCCTCTTCGTAATGGGTCGTACATCCCTCGCGGCGGATCCAGGCCATTTGCGAGTAGTGGAACGCGCTTGTCGAGTCGAGGCGCCAGAGCCTGCAGAGCTGGACTGTGGCTGAGCCGTGCTTGGGCTCCGCTCCCCAGAAGCTGCATTGCGTGTTGGCCGACCCGCTTTCGGCAAGGCCACCCAAACATTGCAGGTGGGGGAGCAGAAGGTACCGATGCCGTTGCTCCCTGGATTTCTTCTGGGGTGCTTTCTGACTCGGGTTCCGAGGCGGATCCAGCAGAGGTGACGTGGGGCTGGTAGCGCTGTAGGTATACGCTCTTCCTCTGAGCAGGTTTTGCTTGATTGGCTGAGCCGTTCTGATCACCGCCTGTCCAGAGCGCTCGGACATCCAGTGCGGCGTTGAGTAATGGGGGGCGACAAATGGGAGGGCTGCAGAAGAGGGGCCCTCAAGGGGCCCTTGAGGGCCCAAGAGGGAGCCTTAAGGGGCTGAGAAGAGCACCTTGTCTCCCCCCCCGCCCCCCCCATTCAGCGACGCTCGATCCAGATGTACCACTGGTGGCTCGGCCCCGCCGAGGTCGCCCGCGGGCTCCGACCCGGAGGCGCTGCTTGAGCGCCTGAAGAACTTCGACCCCGATGTTCACTGGGAGGATATTCGAGCCGCGCTCTCCCCGCGCGCGGACACCCTGAACCCTACAGTCGAAGACGAGAAGATGCCATAGCCGTAAACTGTTGGCGCTCCGCGGCGGATATCTTGCATCAGCCCCTTGGCGGCGACTCTGGCGCCGCCCCTGGCGCGCTCCGCGCGCCAGGGCAGATCCAAGAGATCCGCGTGGAGCGCCAAGAGTTAATGTTTATGTCGTTGTTTCTTCTTATTCTTCAGGGGTGGGCAGAACCCCAGCCTTGTCACGTCGACAAGTGAATTGTCCGTTTTCGATTCTCGAGAGGGCCAGGCTTGCACCCGCCAGGCTAGGGCCCGAGGTCGTCTTCACTAAACCACGTTTCACTGAAGGGGGTTCTGTCCATCCCCGAGCCTACACCGGAGAAATCTGATAGTACATGCGTCGTGGAGGGCGCTTCCTGTCCACACCGCTCGGGAAACGATATACTGCAAGATGGGTATACTATGAGTTCGGGTCGGACGCGCGTCTCCAAGGATAAAAACATATAGCATGTCTGTATGCGTCCCATTCCAATCCCTATGCCCGAAACCCGAAACTCACGGGCGTACAACAACGCCCCTGCCCTGGTTTGCGAGGCGCTGTTCGCGGAACCGCTTGTGTCCCTGCCAGGTTATAAACCCTGCATGTCGCGCGCGTGGCGCGCGGCGCCCTTGGCGGCTCTCTGGCTCCTCGGAAACTCCCAGGGGGTGTTCAGACCACGCGCTCGTAACCCAGGTTAGGAGCGTTTCTGCATCCTCCATAAACCTGTGGAGGACGATCAAAGGAGAGGAAGCATGTCGCCAAAAGAATTTCCAGATGTCTAAAACATGTTTTTGCATCCTCAATAAACCTGTGGAGGACGATCAATGGAGAGGAAGCGTGCTGCCAAAGTAGTTCCAGATATCTAACACATGTGTGACAGATGCTTTTCGACGTGCAGAAAGCAGGTTGCAACCACGTTTAGAACATGCTCCCGACATCTTCAACACATCTGAGATGCAACGATAGGACTGTGAGGGTGTCCATCATTGTCGTGGCATCCACAACGACAAACCGAGAGAACCGCCTCCGCCTCCGCCGCCGCCTCCTCATCCTCCTCCTCCTCCTCCTCCCTCCTCCCTCCGAGAGCAGGGCGCTGCGAGCTCCTGGCCCCGCGCGCCCTCGTCCTGCTCTCCGGGCCCGCCCCGGGGCCCCCTGGCGGGCCGACCCGGCAGCGCGACGCGCGCGGCGGCAGCGCTGCGTGCGGCATGTGGGGCTCTCTCCGATCGCGATCTCTTCCCGCGGCGGAGGCAGCTCCTTCGGGGTCCGGCGAGGAGGAGGAGGAGGAGGAGGAGGAGGAGGAGGAGGAGGAGGAGGAGGAGGAGGGGGAAGAGGTGGTGGAGGAGGAGGAGGAGGAGGAGGAGGAGAGGAGGAGGATGCGCAGGGGGAAGAGGTGGTGGAGGAGGAGGAGGAGGAGGTTCTCGGGCCCGCCCGCCCCCCCCCCATCCTCTCAAGAGATCCTGGCCTCGTCGGCTGCGCAGGGCCGAAGGGTCCAGCCACGGCTGGTGCGCGCGGGCATGCGGTAGGGCTGCCAAGAGCGAAGAGGGTAAGTTGTCGGCCGTCACTTCCCCAACCCCGCCGCATAGCCCAAGCCATCGCGACGAGTGCGCAGCGGTCTGATGCTGTCATTTAGTCGCAGCGTCGGATCTCAGGCAGCGGCGCGCGGGTGTGCGGGTCTGGAGGGCAGAGTCGATTGGTTTCCAGAAGACCCATTTTTGGGACACATGACAAATACCGTCAATTTCTAGCCACAAGCGTCTATAGACACATTTGGCGCTGTTACGATATATATATATATATATATATATAGAGAGAGAGAGAGAGAGAGAGAGAGAGAGAGACGCTTGGGGTGGCTACATCTATAGACAGCGTGGTCGTTGCGTTCGGTGCTGTACAAGGTCGGAGGAAAGGGTCGATCCGGCCACGGTATGTTCCTAACGCTCAGATTGCGGGGTGCGCGCGCGGGAGCGAAGTACGGAGGGGAGCTGCGCGAGCATCGGGAGCCTTCGGAGTGGCGCCCTGGGTACCACGGGTTTCCCAGCAGCCACTGGAGACGCGCCGTGGCTCCAGCCTCGATGAGGCAGATCTTACGTTGCATCTCCGGGGGACCTCGCCTGACCCAATGATGGGTGCCTTTTCTTGTGCCCGACGCGGATTTGGCGTGGATCTGGCGCGAATTCGACACGGATTCGACCCGGATCCGGCGAGTCCGACATGGATGCGAACCGGAACCGACGCGGACAGGGCCGCAATGGGACAGACCAGGCCCCCCGAGGATGCAGCGTTACAGATATTCCAGGCCTCGCAGATGGGGCCGGAGGATCGCGCCGCATCGCCGATTGATGAGGCTTCGGGTTCTTAGGCGCGGATCGGCCCCCCAGGGTACAGTCGGGGCGCTGAAGAAGGAACCCTTGGCGTTTCACTGGTCCGCAGTGTCCTCTGTGTCGCAGTCGGCCTTGGGTTGTCCTCTGGTTCTCTATGGGAACTCGAGGCTTAACTTATGGAAGAAAAGGGGCCTCGTTCCTTATGTAGGATTCCTTAAGTCAACGCCCCGACTGCAGTCCCGCCTGGCATCAACAGGCCCCCCCGAGTAGTCCTGGCTGGCCTCCGCATGCCCCCCCGAGAAGCCTGGGGCGGTGTCGACACCCTGGCGCCGCCTCTGGCGGCGCCCCTAGGCTTGGCATCGCTCGGACGTGTGCATTTTGCACCAGCGAGAACCATCGAGGACCATCCTGGACCATCGAGCAAACAAAACAAAAAGAAACCGAAGCATGCACGGGAAACGGACGTCCGAGCGACGGCAAGTGGGGCGCTCCGCGCCCCAGGGTTGAGGTAGGCCAGCGGGGGCTATGGTCGAACTGAGGTATGAAAGCGAGGTGCGTTCGGGGAGGGTACCCAGGATGTTGCTCGTGAAAGTTGGATGCTCTTGGGCATCCTGGGGAGGGGCTACCCTTGGATGTCATGTGTGTCTCGGCCGCCGGAAGGGTCTCATGTTCTTGAAGGATGATCCTTCCGTCCTTGGTCCGGCTGTACTCGGGGAGCCTGCTTAGGCCAGGCGGGACTACCCGGGGGCTGTCTGCGTGACCCGGCGCAACCCGAAGCGTTACCATCGCCAATGCATCGGCGATGCGGCTCGATGTGGAGCCAGATTTCTCCACGCCGACGTCACCGACGCTCAGCCACGCGCAGAGGGGGATGGGGGGAAGGGGGCAGAGCTTCTTAGAAGCACCCCTGCTTCTACGAAGCCCTACCCCCTCCCTCCACCCCCAAGATGCACCGCCGACGTGGCCGATGTACGGGCGATGCAACGGCGATGTGGCGCGATCTGTTGACCCTATCTTTTCGGACACCATCCAGGGGGCCTCTAGGACTCTAGATCTGCCGTCTCCGGAGGTGCTTGAGCAGAGCCCTCTGTCAGGAGGGACAAAATCACACACAGACAGAATTGATCCTCGATTCCCCCAAAAAATGTGAATATATGGGAAGTGAGCGGGAAGATGAGAGTCCAGAAAAAAATATTAAATCTGGGGAATCCTTCTATTTGTGTGTATATATTTGTATGTCCCAGGGCCCCTTCGATCTGGCCATATGATGCATTACATGGTTGCAAGCTGAAAGCTGTATAGACATCATGTGATCACCTTGCTTGCGTCAAGAGGCTTGCTCTGCGTCGGATTAGTTTTGCTGCACGGCTGCACGTCGCGGCTGGTCCTGAGACCGAAGGCCACAGACTTTTGCAGATGCGCTCCAGTTACCTGGCATTGGGGAGAAAGGCGAAGAGAGAGGAGGGCTTGAGATGGGGACGTGGATTATGATGTTCCAATATACCTTAGTCTTGATCACCAGACAGAATTTCGAGCACCAGGAAAAGGTACCGAAACTTGAGGGGGCTCACGTGTCGGGCCAAGCGCGGCATTCGTCCGACACGGTCTCGACACATGTTCGACTTTCTTTCGACATTTGCTCGGGTGCTCGAAGTTATTCGTGGGATGTACACCTTAGGCGATGCTTAAGAAAACTTCAGTTTTCGGCCAGAATCTGGATTATTCTGAATGTTTCAATTTAAATCCTAAGATTTTGAAGGAAATCTTAACCCATGATTTCTTAAGCATTTAACAGGGTGTAGTCCTCAAGTACGACGGGAGCGACATCAGACGAGGAGAGAGGATGGGGCTCAGGGGTTCGAGCTCCGGCAGGATGCGTCGGCCACGCTGCCACGCGGCCTCCAGTCCCTGTGCCGCAGAGGGCTCCTCCTCCTCCTCCTCCTCCTCCTCCTCCTCCTCCTCCTCCTCCTCCTCCTCTTGCTCCTCCTCCCCCTCCTCCTCCTCATCCTCCTCATCCTCCTCCTCCTCCTCCTCCCCCGCAAGGCTCGGTGAGAGGCTCTTGTCGCTCGGCCCAACCCGCCGAGTGCAGGACCCGGCCCCCGGATCGTACCACGCACGAGACCGAACAAAAACACAGGGGATGGACGTCCGAGCGATGGCCAGCGATGTGCGTGCCGTCCCGTTGTGGGGAGCCTCTTTTGCCGGGCCAGCGCCCGCACGGGCCCGCCCTTGGTGCGAGCGCGCCGCTGTGGAGGTGCGCCGCCGCCGTCCTTCCCTCGACGCTCAGAGTCTCCATGCTTTAACGGGCGAAGAACGGTATAACATAAACTTTCCGCCGTCGGGGACACCTGCCCCAGGGCGGCTGGAAAGTTTATACCCTTACGGCGGTGCCGTAGGGTATAAACTTTCCAGCCGCCCAGGGGCAGGTGTCCCCGACGGCGGAAAGTTTTTGTTATACCGTTCTTCGCTCGCTTAATACTTGCATTACGCCGGGCACATCCCTCTACAGGAGGAAGGTTCAAGAAATAGTCAAAGTATAGTCTCGGGACGATTGGTTTGAGTATTTTGTTCGACTGTTTTAGCGTATGTTTGGAATGTGTTTAGCTTTTCGCCCAAAATCCGCCT